TGGCTAAAGCATTTCTCAAACATGTTTTCAGACTCCACACGTTGCCTATCAAAATAATAACAGATAGGGGCTCCCAATTTATTTCAAAATTCTGCGGGGAGCTCATGGAACTTATGGGGATAGAACGGGGGTTGAGCAGCGGCTACCACCTAGAAACTGATGGACAATCGGAACGTGTCAATCAAACCCTTGAACAATACTTATGGTGCTTCACAAACTGTCAACAAGACAATTGGGTGGACTTACTGACTTTAACTGAATTTTGTTATAATAATGCTTACCACTCGTCCACAGGGGTGTCACTTTTCAAAGCAGCCCTAGGCTACGACAGCCCCCCGATTCCCTTTCTAACCTCGACACCCGGGAAAGGGGGTGAGGCATCCGATTGGTGTAAAACATTAAGGGACTCGTGGCCAAAGATATGTGAGACATTGGACATGGCCAAGCAGCAGGCTGACAAGAAACAGGTGGAGGGTTGGGTTCTGAAGCCTGGAGATTGTGTATATGTATCCACAAAGAATCTGTGACTTTCTCAGTCCTGTTGGAAGTTGGCGTGGAAATACATTGGTCCTTTTAAAGTTGTAAGGTTGATGAATGAGGTGACAGAATTGGACTTGCCTAAGAATCTAAAGCATATCCATCCAATTTTCCATTTCAGCTTGCTGAAACCCAGTCCAGAAAGTAATCAATGGCGCCCGGAACCGACAGTACCCCCACCTATCCTGGTGGAAGGTGAAGAACATTACAAGATCTCAGACATTCTGGACTCTAAAATGAAACGTGGACGATTGTATTATCTGGTGGAATGGGTGCATTGGGGTCCCCAACATCGGGAGTGGGTGGAGGGGAAAGATGTTTGGGCCTTTTGCGTGAGTTTCACGACCGTTTCCCGGAGAAACTGGGAGGTCTCCCGGCCGCTCTGGGAGGGGGTTGGTTTATTTTTGAGGGGGTAGGATGTCAGCTAGCTGCCATGTTTCATCTGTATTTGTCCTTTCCTGCCTGTGGCGCGACTGCGCATGCTTGCTCGCTTGCTTTGCTCGCTTGCTGTAAACAGCGATAGGAGGTGCTCATGAGACCGTGCGAACTGGCGCTGACTAACCTTGAGGAGGAGGGAGGGCTTGCGTTCCACTGTTGGTTTGAATATTTCTGCTCTCATGAAGCACGGAGACTCTCCCGTTCATTATGTAACCTCCTGCCGGGAGAATTCCCGCGCGTGCGCTTGGATTTCATTTGTTTAGCCAATTGCAGCATCATGTTATATGTAGTGATGCATCCATCCCATTGTCATTCCTAACAATATACCTGTAGACCATGACAACAGACCTGTAGTCTAATAAAGCATAACGATTCCCTGGAAACGTGTGTGGAGATTTACATGCTGTTGAACCTGACAATAGGTTTCCTCAGTAAATAAGAATGGCAGATCAGGAAGTGTAACTTCAGCTGCTCAAGCAAATAATTTAACAATTAACCCAAACATATACAAGAATTTGGCATTGCTGCTAGTAGTCAGTCCAGTCAAACAGTCTCTGGTTCCCATTTCAGATTAGAGGGGTGTTTTTCCTCTGCAGCCTCATTAGTTCTTGCTGAATTCTCAAATACTGAAGCTGAAATTTACTGAGCTGTCTTTTTTAGCGTGCTTGGATGAACATAATTGGGTACATAGGGTTGGAGGTTTCCACTTGGACTGTTTGTATTTCCACTTGCATGAGTAGCCAGTGCTATAGAAATGCAGACGGATCCCACTTCCATTGCAGGCCTCCATGCTGCTCCCCACACATTGCCTGAGTGTTTTCCAGCCCCCCAGAGCTGCATTTCAAGGAGCACCAGGAAAGCAGGTGGGGAGGAGAATTTCTTTTCCGTGGGCACTGAGACACATTTATGGGCTTAGTAGCACTTCAGACCACAGGCCTCCCTCTGCCACATCCTGCATCACAAACTGCATTATAAGCTCGTTCCTGTCTGAAACAGGGTCCAGCATGCCGCATGAGGGATTGCCATTGAAGGAACTGAAGATCCCTTTGGGGGTGCAGAGCTAGAATCAAAAACTGTCCATAAATTCATAGTGCTTTGCTGTGATGGCAGCAAGTGGTGGAAACGGGAGTGTGTTTTCAGAGCATGTTACTGGCTCTTTTACACCCATACGTTTTTCATTATATAAATGCTAGCCTACCATACAAGATCATAAGGGTTGCAGCGGTCATGCATGTAAAACACTTCATTAAAAGCACCAGATAAATGCTAAGCATTATTAGTTTACACTCATAAGGGATAGGGGCCCCTTAAACTTTTTAAAAGATGAGTTGGATCCCACAGATCTCTTTCACTAGCTGAGCCTTCCATTGTTGGAAGAGCCTCTTGGGCCTATTGAAATCTCCTTGCCAGCATTAGCAGAATGGACCTGTGGGAAGCAGTCCTGAAACATTTTTTTTTTAAAATCCCACTTGGGGGCTCACAACAAAGCCTTCATAAAATCCATGAAGCAGCAATATCCAGCCAAAGCAAAAACAAATAACTAAAAACAAGGTTTTGGATCCTGCAGATCCATTCTGAATAAAGGCAGTGCTCCTCTCCTAAGGCACAAGGAGCCAGATCTACAAGTCGCAGTCCGAGGTTGGAAAAGCCTGCTGATTATTAAAAGGCCATCGAATCAGTCAGTATGTCAATGAAACCAGCACTGCCCTCTGCAGTAAAACTGTTTTGACCTGATTTCCAGAGGCCAGCTGGAGTGATGCAAGGTGGGTTTGCTGGTGAACCCCACAGCGTCAGTATTGGCACTACTGAAGGTGACTGTGTCCCCTGTTGCCAATCAATACGCTTCTGGTGGAGAAATGTGGAACAAGGTCTTTGATGTAGGTGTGTTGGTAGGATCATGTCAGAGGAGGCATGCCCAAGTTCCAGCTGTTTGGGGCTTTGAAGGTCAGCAACCGAGCTATAAGTTGAGCTCAAAGTCTCTGCTGTTGGGCTGCTAAAGCTTTTGTTTAGCATGAAGTTCTACCATGCAGACAGCCTTTCCCCGAGCCTTCCACTGAAGAGAGGCCTAATACCAGAGTCTGTTTGCATCACTGGGATGCCTGTCGGAAGGCAGAGAGACTAATAATTCTTCCCCGTCACCTCCTGAAAGAGTCTGCAGTGGATCTTCACGGGTCTGCAAGCTCACCCTATTTGAGAGTTGGTACTAGTAGGCTGACACACGGGAGAGAAGGACCCCAGCATCCTGGTTGGAATTAAGTTTTTGCCAGCCTGTCTGCTGCATCTCATCATCCTGTCTAGATTGATTTGACTGGGGAGGCGGCGCTCCATTTCAGGTGTCTGGCCACAGCACTCCACACCCATAGATTTGCTCATGAGAAAGTGACTCTTGGGTTATTCATGAGTACATCCATTGGTATAGAACCCTTCCCAACCAATGGGTTTGGTTGTTTCTCTTAAGCTGTCTTGAGGGAGCAGTTTTGTAAACCAGAAGGAAAATACTGTCCATGTACCAGTTGGGAAGCAGAGGGTTATGCAGCAACGCTGCCCTTGGACTTTTTATGCATGGCACTGTTTTTTTCTTGGACATACCCTGGGAAAAGAGCTGGTGTGTGTGTCTGGTCCACATAAGGTGCACATGTTCCAGCCTCTGTAGACTTTTGTTGATGCTGCATGCATGTTTTTATACGCAACTTCAGGTTTAGCTCAACCTTATCATAGTGGTAGAGCAAGGACCAAAACTGGTCACGAGGCTGGTAGTTGTATGAATGACCTGAGTGGATCAAGCTGGTAACTAGCAACTGTGTTGGGCAAGAGGGGGATTTGGTTTAGGGAGGCATGTGGGGTTTGACTCTACATGAACCTGCCTTATGCTGAATCAGACCATTGGCTCACCAGTTCCCGTATTCTCTGCTCTGACTGGCAGCTGCTCTCTGGGGTCTCAGGTGGAGATCTTTCAAGTTACCTCATAGCTGCTCCTTTTAACTGAAAATTGAACCTGCAACCTCCTGCATAGGAAGCAGATACTCTACCAGTGCGCTGTGGTCCCACCCCTCTCCTTCCCTTCCCGTGGCTTTTTTGCAGTCTTCAAATACTGCCCCCCCCCATTGCTACTTATCAGTGAAACGTGCCCCAAAGATCCAGTCACTGATTTCTCATTCTCTCTCTGGGTTTATCCCTTAGACATTCCCCTTGGTGGTGTGTGTGTGTGTGTGTGGTGGGGGGTTGCTGTCAAGTCGTAGCTGATTTATGGCGACCTTGTAGGGTTTTTAAGGCAAGAGATGTTCCAGAGGTGGTTTGCCACTGCCTGTCTCTACATCATGACCCTGGTATTCCTTTGTGGTCTCCCAACCAAATGCCAGGGCCAAAGCTGCTTAGCTTCTGAGATTTGACAAGATCAGGTTAGCCTGGGCTATCCAGGACAGGGCCCTTGGTTGTCAGGTTCCCTCAGATGCCATCTGTTGGTGGCTGCACATTAGCCATGCATTTGTTGCTTCTGAACAGGTATGGCATGTGCTTGATTGTCCCATGCCACTATGCACTTGGCAAACTGGATACTTTTAAAGTCTTGGCAGGGCAGCTGGCTGGATGTGAACGGTCCATCCACAAGGTTCTGTGCGCAGTCTTCATTGTGCATCCCTTTCTCTTGGGGTGTGTGTGTGTACAAAACACTGTGGGAGTGCAGGTGTGTCTTTAACTGCCTGTAGACAAAACTTTCCTCTAGCGCAGTGGCTTTATGTACAGCTATCAGATAGCAGCGCTTTTGAGACCTTTTTTTTTAACCCCCCAAGAGTTGGTTAATAATAGTAATTAGCACCAGCACTTAAGCTTTAGGAAGGCCCAGAGAGCAGAGTGACATGCCTCCCGTTCCTTCATTTTGCCCTTTTTTCTTTTTGAGGCAGTTCTGATGTTGTACTTTCCTCCGCTATATAATTAGAACATTGCTTTGAAGTAGCTGCTTTTGTTTGTGTTGTTTTTTTAAGGGCTGAGACCAAACACGCTCTACTAATTATTTATTTCCTTTTTAGACACTGCTACAATATGCCGGCAACCGGGGTGCTTCGGAGCATGCCTTGCCTCTTTTGGAAGTGTACAGTGTCGCCATTCAGAGTTTCGCCAGTGCCCGACCTTACTTGACTACGGATTGCGAAGAAGTTATTCTGGTTCTTGGCAGGCTAGTGCTGTAAGTATAATTCGTGATCATTTTCTTTCCCCCCCCCCCCCCCCCAAAAAAAGAGAGGCTACACATCAGAGCTTGTCAAAGCTTTGTCTAACTCTTCCCAGGTCCCTGTTTGATATGTAAATCACTGCTCCCTGTATTAGTAAAGGCAAGAGACTGTCTGCAGGTGTTCTGGGAACCAAAATATGGGCAGAAAAATAGAGAGTGTTGGAATGATTGATACTCCCTCCTTTTCCAAAATCCATTCGGGGTGTGTGTCAAGGGCTATAACTGCAGCGCGTTCTGTAAAACAAAATCTCCTTTCGAACTGGATTGTTTCAACAGGAAAAGGGACATTTCATTTTTATTTGCTCTATTTTTATACCCCACTTTTCCCCCCCAACGGGGAATCCAAAGTGGCTTACAACATTCTCCCTTTCATTTTGTCCTCACAGCAACCCTGTATGGTAGGTTGGGCTGAGAGTATATGAGTGGCCCACAGTCACCTGGCAAGCTTCCATGGCAGAGTGGGGATTCAAACCTGGGTCTCCCAGGTCCTAGTCCAATAATCTAAGTGCCGCCCCATGCTAGCTTTCCATTGGTCGGGGCAGTTTAAAGTGGGGGTGGGCTTGGCGTCAAATAGCATGTTTCCTTTGAACCCCTTTGCCCTCTGTGCCCTGCTTATAGAATTTATGTGAAACAGGGTTCTGCATTAGCTAGGTGATTGATTTGATCCAGCACAGCTGTTCTTACATTCTCTCTCACCCAGCACACGTGAGAACCAGTGTTCAACTTATACTCAGCCATGAAAATCAGTTGAGCGGCCTTGGGCCGGTCTTTCAGCCTAACCCCCCTCACAGGAATGCTGTGGGCAGGAGGGGGAGGAATTTTAGGAAACCACACTCCCCCTCAGTGCTCTGTCTAAGTTCTTTGGAAGGAGGACACAGAAGGCCAGTGGAAATAACTTGCAGGTAAAAATGAACATTGTTCAGGATTCAGAGACAGCGTTTATCATGCAACCCATTCCCCCACAATCTCAAGCATTAATGTTGGCTGTTCCTTGTCTGCGCCTAGGACACCTGCTTCCGAATGCAGTTCCAGGGAGAACTGGGACATGTAAATTAAGTTGCAGGTTTTTTGAACAGTCAGTATGCAGCTCAGATACTTTCTTGTTTCAGATGTTACTGCTTAACACCAGTATCCAAACATTACAATGCACCTCTGTAGGTATCGTTTAATGAAAAGCAGCACAGGCGAAAGGCAGGAACTGTTGAGCCATTCGGCCATGTATTTCCTACATGTTGGAAGAACATGTTGAGACACAACCAGCTCATGGCAACCCCATCGACGGGATGTTCCAGGCAAGAGATGAGCAGAGGCAGTTTGCCGTTGTCTTCTCCCTCTGAGGTGGAGGACATCTTGGTGGGTTCCCTGCCTCTACAGGGAGAGCAGCGTAGAATAGGCTGTGCCTAATCTATTCACTCTATTTTCATTCCTTTACCTTTTTTCTGACCCTAATTCTTAGCTGCTTTTCTCTCGATTCATTCTGACTTCTTCTCTATTCTACTCTTGTCTTGAGTGCTCCCACTAGGAGGCAGCAGGAAAAACTTTTGTAATTGGAGGGAGAGCCAATTTCTCAGCTGAATAGACTCAGAGCATGTACCTCTACCACTCCAAATGTTGGATCATGAGGGCAGCAATGGCTTCCTCTCCAAAGAAGAGTGAGAAGCCCCCCTCACCGCTGGTGCTGGCTTAGTTACTGCAGAGGCTGCTGCAGAACGATTGGGAGCCACTTTGCCAGCCATCCCCGAGGCGACGAGAAGTGAAAGTAAAATGTGCGCCAAAAAGAGGCACCGTTCCTCCCTGCCCTCTGCATCGGGTGATGGTCATATCTGAGCCTGCCACTAGAGGAGACCTCGCCAACCAGTTGGGAGCAGGCTGCGAAGGGGGTGTTGCCACATCCATAAGCCATGCAAAGATACCAAGACGCAGAGAAAATCATTCAAAACGTCTGGCAAATCATGCAGTAGCTGCAACCAAACCCACTTCTGCAAGCGGTGTCATGGGTCTACTCAGGAGTAATGCACAGGGATCTGTATCCTCAATGTTTCCTTCTGAATTTATGAATTTACTCAGGCAAACCATGAGGGAACTGATTGCCAGTTTTTGCCAGGGTGGAGTCGATAGATCTATAACCCACTCTGGTCCCTCTTCTAGCCCTTTCCCTCCCAGACTAAGGAATATGGAAGGAACACCTTTTATTGGAGGAAGACCTAGCTGGCCCACTAAGGCGTCTAGGAAGAAAGGTAACAGCAGAAAAAGAGATAACTCCCTGTGGAATACAGATATAGTTTCAGATAGTGAAGTGGAAGAAAGGATAGATAGAAATCCCAGAACAGTCCATAAGATTTTTTAAATCAGAGCACTACCATTACCTTCTATCCAAGACTGTGGCAGCATTAGAGTCACAAGAGAATCCCTTAGGGGAGGAACCAGGTTCTTCCACTCCAGTGGCTCAGGGCAGGCCCAAGGGGAATAAGGAATTCTTTCCTAGGTCTAGTGTGGCAGAGAAGGCGTTTCCCTTTCCAGAAGTCTTTGAGAAACAGCTAAAGGAAGAATGGGTGAAACCCATGACCAGCCAGCAATTTCCTAGTTTTATCAAGGAATTATACGTGTTGCCATCTTTCACTAGTCAGTTTTTTCAGGTTCCTCTAGTGGATGCTCAAGTTGCAACACTACAGTAATCTGGGCTCTGGTCCGAGGGCGATGAGGACACCGTTGGAGACAGCATGGACAAACAGCTGATTTTGCACTTAGAAAGGCCAATGAAGCCATCACAATGGTCATCAAGGCTTCTGCCTTAATAGTCTCCAGAGCAGTTATTGTCTGGACCAGAAAACATTCTGGCCAGCGACAGACACCTGTTGGAGGGAACTAACAGAGTTCTCAAAGCTACATCATTCACAGCAGATGCTACGTTAGACTCTTTAATTTTCTCATCCAGGGCTATGGCATTGGTAGCAGCTGCCAGAAGAACCTTGTGGCTTCGGGCCTGGCAAGCTGATCTCCATGCAAAAACAATAGTTAGGGTCTATCCATTTCAAGGAGACAGACCAGTCCGAGACGCTCTGGACAAAATCTTAATTGAGACCAGAGACAAGAAAAAGGTGATACCCATAACATAAATCACACTGATCGTAGATCTTTTGGAAATTATTCCTTTCATTCCCAAAGATTTCTTCCAAGGATCAGTGAGGACTACCGAAGGATGACCTGGAGCTTCTCTGGACAATCCAGAAGAGGATCATTCCACAACCGTTTCAACAAACAATTCACAATTAGTTCTGACAAACCAAACTGTGACAATAAACTAGCCAAAGCATGACTACGAGTCACTTCCAGTGGGGGACGTCTTCTACACTTTCAGGACAAGTGGATCAACTCAATGACAGACAGATGGGCCCTGGAAATAATCACCAGAGGCTACTCCATAGAATTCATCAGATCTCCAATGGAACGTTTTCTGGTCTCCCCACTACACAAGAATCCAGAGAAACTACACAGTACTCAGACTGCTATCCACCATCTTGATATTTGGGCCTCCATTGGAAAAGGGTCAAGGGGTTCACTCCATTTTCTTCATGGTGCCAAAAAAAGAATGGAGATTTGAGGGCGATCCTAGACTTGAAATATCTCAACAAGTTCATCAAACTGAGACATTTCAAGATGGAAATTTTTGAGATCTAATATGTAGTCGAAAGCTTGAGATCCATCACAGGGTCATTGCAGCCAGAGGAGTACCTGACATCGATAGACTTAACAGGATCATACCTTCACATTCCAATCTTTTCCAAACACAGAATATTTCTTTGTTTCTGCATCAGAGGGTCTCAACTACAATTCAGGGCCGTTCTGTTCAGACTCTCCACGGCGCTGAGGATCTTAACAAAGATCTTGATCAAGCCAGTTGTAAAGTTAAGGGAATAAGGGACCCTTCACTAGACGACTTGCTGATCAGGTCAAGCTACAGGATCAAGTCACACCAAGACACAGAATCAACTATCTGGTATCTACAGGATTATGAATTCCTGCTCAATCTTCAGAAAAGCTCCCTACATCCTACCCAGAGAACAAAGTATCTGGTTGTCATATTGGATACAACCGACAATTGCATCCTTTGAACTGAAGGCCAAGAAAATGGAAATGTCACAAACAGTTATCAGGAGCAGATCTTCATCTCTGATGACTCTTACGAAATGATGGGTCTACTAATTTCAAGCATCAATGCCATCCAGTGGGGTCGACTACACACAAGACCACTTCAGCAGCTTTTGAGACCATTCCATCTGGAAATTATGAACAAAGAGGATCTTTCCATCAAGGTCCCCCTTGCAGTAAAAGCAAGTCTTTTCCGATGGACCAGAACACCCAGTCTTCTTCAGGGTGAAGCAGATTTTCATGGATGCCAGCCTGTCCAGTTGGGGGGCAGTGTTAGGGGGTCCTTCTCTTCTTCAGTCCACAGTTAGTTGGTCAACATGTTCTATTCAGAGTGGACAATGCGTCTGCTAAACGTTATCTGAACAAACAAGGATCTTCATTGCTCTGCAAGGAGGCACTCAAGATACTAACATGAGCAGAGAAGAACTGGGCATTGATAAGGGCCAAACACATAAAGGGATCAATGAATATCTAGGCAGATTGGCTCAGGCAGGAGACCATCCAGGTGGGGGAATGGTCCCTGAAGAAGTCTATTCCAACTTATCATGTTTCATTTCGGTCTTCCTGTAGCAGACCTATTCGCTTCACCAAACAACCATCAGGTAAACAGGTACTTCACCAGATATTTTTCATCCAATGGCCAAAGTGACGCCCTAACATTTCAGTTGCCAAACGGTCTTCTTTTCGCCTGTCCCCCCACTCTGGTTCTTCCAAATTAATCAGGAAGATTAAAGAGCAGAAGGCAGAAATCATGTTAGTAGCACCATACTGGCCTCGACGACCATGGCTGTCTGCCTTCCAGGCTATGGCAACACAAGCAGCACTAGCACTTCCTGAGTCTAGGATATTCTGCAAAGTGAAGGATACTTTACTAGCCTATAGAAAGCAATCAGCCAATAGAATATACAACGCTTCCTGGAAATCATTTGTAAGGTGGAGTAGAAGAAAGGTATCAACCCTAGGAAACCTAAGATTAAACAGATTCTGTTCTTCCTACAGGATGGACATGACAGTGGACTCAAGGCCTTTCACTCTAAAATGCCAGGTAGCAGCCTTGGCGATGGTGTTGCCTGTATTCCAGGGTATGACTCTATCCAGACACATACACATTCGTCACTTCCTCAACAGCGCGGCCCTAAACGATCCATCACAAAGACATAGATTTCCAATGTGGAAGTTGCATTATGTGCGTTCGGTCCTTACCAGACACCTATTCAAGCCTTTAAAAAAAAATCCACTTAGATGGCTGAGAATGAAAACCTTGTTCCTTATAGCAGTCACATCAGCTAGGAGGGTGTCTGAACTAGGCACTCTGTCCATCAAGCCTGAACTGTGTGTCTTCCATAAAGACAAAGTGGTCATGTATTGTTGTATTGTATCATGGTTGTAATGTATCATGTATTGTTGTAATTGATTGACTGTTTTATCTTGTTTTTAATTTTTTTAACTATTGGCATATATGCCCTATCTGTGAGCCACCCAGAGCCCGCTTGCGGGGAGGGCGGGTTATAAATCTAATAATAAATAAATAAAAATGAGGACAGATCCTGTCTTCAAGCCAAAGGTGAATTCCAGCTTTTGTAGTTCACAGGAGATTTGCCTTCCTTTGTTCAGCCCTAATCCGACCCATCCGAAGGAGAAACTTTGGCATAACTTGGACGTCAGATGTACACTTAAAGCCTTCATTCAGAAAACACAGAGAGCCAGTGTGGTGTAGTAGTTAAGAGCAGTGAACTCTAATCTGGAGAAACGGGTTTGATTCCCCACTCCTCCACATGAAGCCAGCTGATTGACCTTGGATCAGCCACAGTTCTCTCAGAGCCCTCTCAGCCCCACCCACTTCACAAGGTATCTGTTGTGGGGAAAGGAAGGGAAGCCGATTGTAAGTCACTCCAAGACTCCTAATGGTAGTGAAGGGCAGGTTATAAACCAACTCTTCTTCACCTCCCCCTCCTCTGCTGCCGCCCCCTCCTATCCCTTGTTCATTTCCATCTCTCCGCCAAGTAAAGGAATAAGGATGTCAAAATCAGCCATCAGCAGTACTCTCAAGGCATTTATTATTGAAGTCTGTAAAGTTCAAAAATTAGTCATACCTGTTGGGTTTACTGCCCATTCAGTTCAAACTGCTGCAACCAATTTGGCATCTGCCAGTTGTGCTACAGTTGAAGAGGTCTGTAAGGCAGCCACAAAATGAACATCTGTGACTCAGCTGATGCAGCGTTTGTAAGAAGAGTGTTACAGCACATTCCTGAGACAGAAGATGATGACCCACCCAGAAAATGAGGACACTGCTTTGGGAGATCCCACCAAGATGTCCTCCTCCTCAGAGGCAGAATGGACCATTGGATATTTACCATGAAGGGCCCTTTTCCTCCGAGGAAAGGAGGACATCTTGTCCCACCCGAAGTCATTGTCATTCCCCATTCTTCACTCTTCTGTACAGCAGGACCACTTCCTGTCCTGTTGTTACTCAACTTACTGTTGTCTGTTTCTCCTTGTTATTTTTTACTGTGTTGTTTATTTTATAATTTAGGAGGTTTATTAACGGCTTTCGGAGTTGCCAGAACTGAGAAAATGGGTTACTCCCACCAAGGAAACAGGAAGTGCAGATTTTGTTCCTGCCTCCCTGATAGGAGGGTGGGAATTACCCACCAAGATGTCCTCCTTTCCTCAGAGGAGAAGGACCCTTCATAGTAAGTATCCAAAGGTCCATTTCTCTGCGTAGCAGCCCTGATCTCCCATCCAAGGCAGTGGCAAGCCCCCTCTGCTCATCTTTTCCTGTAACAGCCCATGGATGGGGTCACCATGAGTTGATTGCATCTCAGTGGCACATTCTTCCAGCATATTTAGAACATTCTTTTTGGGCCAGGTGCAGAAACAAGCAAGGCTCAGCATTACCTAATGTTTAGTATGCCTCTTCTTAGTCGTAATTCTGACAAGCCTCAAAAAGCTCTGTGGCTTTTTCTTGCAGGAGCTGTTTTGAACTACTGCTTTCTGTGCCTGAAAGTGAAGAGCAGTGTGAACCATTGTCAAGACTGTTTCAGTCTATACAGGTGAGTGTGTGTTGTACCTTTGTTCTGTGGCGTCTGCTGTTTCAACAGCTAGCATCCAGAAACCAAATTAATGAGGCAGACATGTGTCATCCTTTGCCTGAACAATGGGAGAAAAAAAAGCAAAACCTCAGTGTAAAAACATACCCCAGTTATTGTTTGAGAGAAAATGCTTTTGTGAGCTTGGATGTAACATTGGAGGAAATGTATTGTGACGGCTTAGCATCACCAGGCTTTGTGACTGACCATGCTGAGAGTTTCAGTTCTTTGCAGCACCTTTAATGCACAACAGGGTTGTAAGCATCTTTTTAAGCAGCTTTTGCCAAAGATCAAGAGAGTGCATCTTTTTTTCCCACATGGCAGATCTGGTTCCGTTAAAGCAATAGTCTGTTGTTTCATATTTGCTGAAGTCTAAGGGTAAGCTCAGCCCTGACCTGGATATCCCAGGCTAGCCTGAACTCATCAGATCTCGGAAGCTAAGCAGGGTTGGCCCTGGCAAGTACTTGGAAGGGTGACCTCCAAGGAATACCAGGGCCAGGACACAGAGGCAGGCAATGGCAAACCACCTCTGAACATCTCTTGCCTTGGAGACCCTATGGGGTCACCATAAGCCAGCTGCGACTTTATGGCAAAAAGGGAGGGGGAGCTCATTGTTTGTCACTTTCTGGAAGGAGCAAACTTAGTGGCCAGACTTTCAATTGATTCACTGATTGGCAAATCCAAATAAGGTTTAGTGACTTAGTTGTACCTTAGCAGCAGCCAAAAGCCATCAAAGCTTTTTTTGCGCGTGTGTGTGTGCGCGCGCTTGTGTTGTGCTTGGTCATGTTTCCACTGCTGATGTCTGCCTAATGTTATGTGAGCACCCCCACCCCCAGGCAGCTGCTTTCTGTAGGTGTAATGCACCACTCATGTGTCCATACAGTTATCCTTGGGCCAGTACAAACTACACCACTGCTAGACACACAGTGGTATTTTTGTATGAGTAGTGGGAGTGTAGCCTTTGTTGTGGGGGAGGAATTTAACAGTGGAGGATGTCTGCCAGAAGGGGCCGATGCACAGACCGTTAAATACCAATTAGCAAAGCTGAAGAGATTGAAAACGATGAGGCATTGCTGTGGTGGAGGGAGAGGATAACCTTTCTTCTGTTATCCACTTTTACTGAAGGCCTCTAAGTGTTTGTCTGCCTGAGTGCTGCAGCAGTAGAGGTTCATGAGGGGGAAAGGAATCTCATTTCCTAGCTACAAAACGATGTAGCTTAAGTGCTGAGAAAACGCAACATGCTTGACTTGATCTTCTTGATGCCTTTTTTTCCAGCAGTGTTGCACAGCACGTCTCAGGGTGGTGTTTTACTTCCTTTTTTCCTGTCTGTGTAGCTTAGACTCTTATGGCATCAACTCAGTAAGGGGAAAAGATGGATTGATGAGGCCAGGGAAAGAACTAATACAGGGCTAGTGAAGCAGCCTGCTGGTAGATGCTGTTCTATTCCTAAAGGCAGACCTTGGGTTGGTTTTTGTGCCTGAAGGAGTGAGTGCTTGGAAGTGCTCCTCAGGGGAAAAGTAGGATGGTGTTGTAGTAGTGGGAAATATCGGGCAGCACTTCTTTCTCCCGCAAATCACCAGCGTGTGTATCCTGAAGTCGCTCCCCTGGAACTCCCCCGCCTTCTGTGATCAAGACACAATTACCCTGCTTTGCATGCCCATCCAAATCTGTGCATTTATTCCAGAACCGTGCTGGAACATTCTTATCCTTCACCTAGAAATTACCTTGCAATCTGTGGCAAAGAACCCTCTGCAGTTGCTCTCCAGACATGCTGCTGCAGCTTGGATCACGTTTCCATTTGTGCTGCCCCCTTTTCCATTGCGGAGGCAGTCCTCTCATACAGAGCACGTACCTCCAACCTTGGGTACTTGTGCTCACACAAGACCCAGCACTTTACTATACCTGATCTCTAGGTTTTTCGCCTAAATCTCTCCACCTACCTGTGTTCCAAAATCCGGCCCCCAAGCCTATTTCACGACCTGTTTCCAGGACAATCATCCCTTCAGGCTTTTAAAGAGCAATTAAAGTAATTGCCCTGCAAAGCATTTGGAGGTAACTAGTAGAGCCATTTTCTTTATATATCGTTGCTGTTTCATTAGCTGTTTTACCTTTTTGTTGTTCGTGGTTGTTGATTGTTTTGTGACTTTTGTTCTATCTTGTTTGAGCGACCGTTTCAGCTGTTCTTTTTTTAATTTGTACACTGTCTTTTGACCCAGCAGAGCTTGAAAGTTAGGTCATAATAAAATAAACATTCAGTCAATCCAATTCTGATCAGTAAATATCCCCCCTTGTCACAATAGCTCTTTTCCACAAGGGGGTGTTTGGCGAGAACCTGAGGGGAAGGAAGTTCATGCAGTAATACATAGGGAGGAAAGGTGGGCTCGTAGTTCAGCATTAGAGCCAACACTTTCTTTGTTTGGCTGTGAGTGTAGTAATCTTCAGCATTTCTGCTTCCCCAGGATCTCTGAGAACTGGGCTAGGAAAGCCCTCAGCCTGGAGCTTTGGAGAATCGCTCTCTGTCAGAGAAGGTGGCATTGGGGTACAGGGACCAGTAGTCTAGCTTGGTATCAGGCAGTGTCATAGGTTCAAAGGCAGAAGAAAGGGTCAGGAACAGGGCAGGAGCTGTCAAGGTACCAACGTCTGAAGTGCCTTCTGAGGTATGGCAGTCTCAGGGAAGACCTTTAAGTTATGAGTTCAGTGTAGGGCTGTTGTGTGGGGTTCCTGCAGGCATCTTGTATAGCACATCAGCCTGGAACTTTGTGCTTTGATCAAGTGTCTTTGATTTTCAGTCTTAAAATTTTGTATTGAAACAAAGAACAGTTATACTCCAAACAAGGGCAGGTATTAAATGAAATTCCAACCATTCTATTTCTACCAATTGGTGGTGGCTGCAGTGATGGGGAACAGAGTTTCCTCTAAGTTGCTCTAGGGGGTGCGGGTGCACAAAATTTTAGCTGGCAGCTCAGGGATTTTTCAGTCAGCTCACAAGTGAACGGAGAAGGCATTTTTTCCTCTCATTGGAAACAATGGGAGGATGGGGGCACCTCCTTCTGGGGCCCATAGAATTGGACCCCATGGTTCAGTCTTTTTGAAACTTGGCGGGGGGAGGGAGTTGAGGAGAGGCATCAGCAACTATGCTGTGTATTTGGTGCCTCTACCTAAAAGAAATCAGGCCTCCCCCAGCCCCACATATCCCTGTATTGATTCTCCATTATAGCCTGTTGGGCCCATTGGATATAATGGTCCTCATAGGCTATAATGGAGCTGGAAAAAAATCAATATTTTTTTTGCACACTCCTGTTATGCTTTTCAGTATGATTTGTAAGCTGCCTTCAGTCACAGTAAAAGTGGGATATAAATATAAATATTTGAATAAATCAGTAGTTTGGGCAGGTTGATAACATTTAAGCAACTTCCAGTGATTGTTCCACCTCTTTTATACTTGACCTGTAATGCTGGTTGTCATATTTCACTAAAAAAACAAACAAACCCAAAGTAGCCTCCCGTCCCCCGTGCTGATATATTTTCTAAGGCTCAGCTGAGACCAAGGCCAGGTCTACCATAGAGTGGACTGGAGTGGGTAGACCTGTTCCCCAGAGGCGAAGTCTCCAAATATAGTGTAAAGGGGCAGGTAGACCTGTTCTCTGGAGGTCTGGTCTACTTCTGTAGAGGACATTCTCTGTAATAAAATTTGACGATTCTGTTTAAATTATTCTTAAAATATAGTGTAAAAGAATTCATTCTGAGATTTTACAAGGTTATGGAAATAATCTTCTAAAAAACTGATTTATGCAAAAGTCAAATGTAGACTCGCTCACAACTTTAATGCTACTAGCTTTTTTGCTCACAAGGTAGAATGTTTGCTCACAACACTGTGGAGCTTAGAACATTGGGACCCAACTAAAATGGCAGTGACCCCTAATTGGAATCTAGAAATTCTAAAACTTTCTTTCTCTCTCTCTCTCTCTCTTTTTTGGTTTCTCATAGGATTCCCATGATGCTTTGCTTCAGTTTGGAGACAACACTCTCGAAATACTGGCTGACATTGCCAAGGAAGGGGTGTGGAAGAACCCGGTTCTGTTTAAGATTATATCGCAGCAGCCGGTAGAGTTAGAAGAAGGTAAGATGTTAAGGCCAAACCTCGAATGAGAATTGTGTTGCCCTGCCCGCTGTTCTGGTGTGGATAACGCCTGCATTTTTCATTGCTGTTTATGAACTGAGCAAGGCAATAGCTGCTCATAAATTGTTGTGGTGTAGCATTTGATGCTTCTTGTACCTTGAAACATCATATTTCATTTGCAGCCTCTTAACAATTCATGTTTGCCTTCAGTAGGCAACAGATTAGAATAATGACACTCGCTTGGGAGGTTTGATTTAATATCTTGTGTAAAGCACGTTGGAGCAGTGGCAGCTTGAGCGTGGTTTCTCAGCACTGTGGTATGGCTGTACCCTAACAAAGTATCTTGTTTGGGATTGTTGATAGTCAGGATCGAGACCTCAGCAGTGCTGTCCTGAACTAAATTCATGCTTCTTTTTGGCTGGTCATGTACGGGTCATTCTGTTTCTGCATTAAACTGTGAACTCAGTCCACCACAGATAACATTGTCTCAGTGTACACAGTGACTCTTTAGGGACAGAAATGAAGAGTCAAGCACCACTTTTCTGACTGCCATTTGGGTTCAGCTGGATTCTCCTTTGGTAGTGGTTACAGGGGAAGCAAATGAGTTCATGTTAGACTCCTCCCATTGGAAGGAGCCTGCCCAGTTCCAATGCAACCTGTGTCAGAGCCACAATGCTTCTCCTTTTCAGTGTTATAGACTTTCCTTCATCATGCTAGCAGCCCGGTTGGAATACTGGTCCTTGTAAAAGCTTAACCAGTCATGCCAGCCTCCACCTTCTAACAATTAAATATATGAATAACATAGCTGTGTGGGGATCCAAGGATAATGGGCCATTCACTGGCAAGTATTTTACTCTGGCTTAGTGCTCTCAACTGCCTGCCAAGCCTTTCTACATAAACTACAGACTGATGTGCTCCAGATGGACCCAACTCTCTTTCAGATGTGCCAGTCTTAAAGACTCATGGTGAAATTTAAGATCAGTAACACCTTAAAGACCAACAAGATTTTTGAGGTATAAGCTTTTGAGGGTCGAAGATCCCTTCATCATATACCCTTGACTCCCAAAAGCATATGTCCCGAAAATCTTGCTGGTCTTTAACTCGAATCTAGCTGTTCCACTGCAGACCAACATGGCTACCCTGTGAAACTTAAGATGTTCCTTTGGTTGAACTAAAGCAATGCGAACTGCAACTGAGTGATGAAGGGATGCTCCTTCCCCGGGCTTCTGACTTCCAGAGAAAAAGCAAAAGTTTATTTATCGTAGGTCCTTTGTGAACACCTTGCTTCCTCAGCCAATCATCACTCAGTATTTTAGTTGAGGATTCTATTTAAAAGTAGTGTAACGAAACATAAGAAAACCAAAAGTATAAGAGAACGAAAGATACACAAATCACAGTGGCATATGTGAAAGCTATGAGTGATAACGTGTGACAATTCTACTCTGCCCACACGGAACCAAAAAATGAATCCAAATTGTAAGTCTCTCACCCAAGGAAATACACACAAGGTACCCTCACTGATCCAAAAAGTTCATAAGTCTTATTGGGCTGGGAGCTCTTATAGAGCATATGAAAAATCATGTTTCTAAGCTGTTCAAAAAAGCTGAATTGTCTATTTCACAAAGTTACTCTGAGCATACAGGTCACATGTAGAACTGAAAGCCTAAAAGTATGTTGCCAGTTGGAGGACCAGTGTTCTTTTCCTGGGATTTCTTTTGTTTTTCCTGGGCAGATAGATAGCTATTTGTAAGACGTTACTTCAGCAGTTATCAGAGCTGGTTTATGCTAGTTGAAGAAATTTCTCAAGGACACTGTGCCTTAAGACAGTGAGAGAGAAATGTCTAGCTGGAACTGTTACAGCCGTTCTTTTTATTTTTTTCAAAAAAAGGAGGGGGATTCAAAATCCAGCAATTAAATAAAAAAGAAAAAGTAGAAACAAAAATATAACAACAGTGGTGGCAGATCTACACACAAGTTACTATAAAAGGTTTCCAAGTCCTTACAGCCATAACTATTTCAGGCCAACTTGTGCTAAGTTCCACGACACAGGAGAACCAGGGAAATGGCATGCTTCATTTCTGAAGGCTAATGGCTGTCGGAACCCTTTTTAAATGATCTCTAATGTTTGAGTTTTAATTGGAAACTCAGACTGCAGTGCAGTGCCCTGTTGCAAAGTCACCTAAAGTATGTCACAATACGACCAAGATGCCACCATGCCCCCCAAAAAAGTACCCTTAAGGTATTTACCTGCCTCGTTTGTCATGCCTTAGCACATAATGATGTATTAGCAGAAGTAGTAATACCTCATTGCCTTTCCCTCCCTAGTGAATAAACTGATTAAGCGAGAAGGACCAGCCTTCCTGCAGATGCGGATAAAACACTTGATGAAGACAAACTGCATTCCCCAGGCTGCTGCCTTGTCCAAGCTGTGTAAAGAGTCCGCTGAAATCTCAAACATATCACCTTTTCTCCAGGCCTACATCACATGCTTGTGCTCCATGCATCCAAATGAAGAGTCTATCAAGGAGGTGAGGAAGCAGTTGTGATGGTTTGTCGCCACCCAAACGGCCAAAATAAAGCTGGGCTCAGATCTAGATAAACACAAAACCCATGAGCTAAATTCAGAAGGTGGTGGGGCGGAGGGCAGTTAGGATTGTGTAACACCCGTGCAGGTGCTAAAAAATGCTCCTGTTTTGGAGGGATGGTGAAATACTTCCATCCTGCTGTGTTTCAACCCTTCCTGTAAGCATGGTATGTTTGCTGTGGCTTCGTCCAAGATACAAGGCTAGGATATATGATCTGCAAGGTGGTTGGTTGGGATCTGGAGTTCTCTGTTACAATACAGTCCCTCCCAGAAAAATCCTGAAAACTGAGAAGCGGGCAGGCTACTCTGAAAAATCCCTTGACTCAAGCTTAGGTGCCTGCAGAGCTTTGGCTCTGGAAGATCTTTCTGGACAAATTCTGTCTTGTCCCAGTGTCTATTGAGTCCAGAACAAGATTTCTTGCAGTGTGTCTGAAGGACTTAACATTTTTTCACAGAAACACAGGAGCCCATTTTTCTTTTCTCGGATACTGACACATTTATCTCATATACAGTGTCATTGTTTCCCTTGGCAGCCAAGAAAGCTCAGGCCAAAGTTGTACCTGTAGGTTGCAATGTTTTTAAAAACCTGATAAGCACTTTTGGGTTTGCTTAGGCCAGTCATTTTTGATAGACTGACCTCTATCTTGTGCATTAGGTCAGCCATCCAAGTAAGCCCATGTCATTCCTGGTTTTCTTTTTTAAGATAAAGGATGGATCTGAGTTTGGGGGTGGTGGTGTTGGACTGTCATCCAATCGCAGCGGCTTATGAATACCATCGTTGCATGCAGGAGACTTGAATTAAAGCAGCAGGATCGGGAGGGGAGGAGGGAAGATGTGCTCTGGTGAATGACTTCATGTTCACAAAAGAGAAACATGGTCTTGAATTCAACTATTTCTGATTTTGAATTCTTTTTGAAAGATCGCTAAGGTGGACTGCAAGGAGGTCCTGGATATGATATGCAACCTGGAAGCAGAGGGGCAGGATAGGACTGCATTTATTCTCTGCACAACGTACCTTACTCAGCAGCTTCAGACTGCAAGTGTGTACTGCTCTTGGTAAGTGATGTGTCTAGACCCTTGGATTTTTTTCCCCCTTCCAAACTTGCAGTTAGCCATTCTAGCCCAAATGGGCCACTGAAGTAGCTTACAATAACACAAGTCTTAACATGTCTCTGTGTTCAAATGTCACTTGTGGGGAGAGAGGGAGAGAGAATGAACAAATCCTACAAGGTGTTGGCAGTTCTTTTTCTTTCTTTCTGGGGAAGTGTTGAAACATCACCAGACCAAACAGAACTCTCAGCTGCCTTCCTGAAAGATGCTCTCGGTTCTTTGCACCCAATCCTTAGAACTTTAGCTATGTAAATCTCTAAAATCATGTGTCCCTAAAGGTAAAGGTAAAGGTTCCCTTGCTCGAAAGCCAGTCGAATCCGACTCTAGGGTTGCGGTGCTCATCTCCGTTTCAAAGCCGAAGAATCAGGCTGATCTATAAAATAATTAAGGCTCTGAACAAACCTTTTGAGAAGTACATTAATTCTCTGCAGCGTGCTTGGTGATGGTATTGGCGGTGGTCACAAATCAGGTGTGGGTGAATAGTAAGCTTAGACTGGGTCAGTATAGCAAAAGATTTTTGTTAGGAGATGGAAGCCCGGAGGGGTCTGGAGGTGGTAGCTGGATCTTTTGAATTCTTGTTGCTGCAGATAATACTTTGGGTCAGCCACCTGCGTCCCCACTCCCCTTTTTTCTTCTACTGGCACAAGTTCTGTGCGAACAGCAGAAGCCTGACAAAGGGAACTTTGATTCTTGAAAGCTCAAACCCTGAAAATCATATTGGTCTCTTAAGGTGCTGCTGGATTCAAATCTAGCTTTTCTACTGCAGACCAGCACAGCTGCCCTCCTGCAACTATTTCTGTTTAAACTTACGTTAGCAAAACCTGTTTGACCGTTAAAGAGTCTGGTAGGAGATGATGTGAAGGACCTCCAGCCTGAAACCCTGAAGAGCCGCTGCCAATTTGAATAGACAGTACTGACCTTGATGGACCAATGTTCTGATCCGGTATAAGGCAGCTTCATGTGTTGTGCTCAATGCTCCCTCTAAGCTGTGGAGTCTTGTGAGCAGAAAATCCTACTTTGTGAGCTACTGGCATTAAAGTTGTGAGTGAGCAATTTGGCTGCTGCATAAATTAGTTTGCTCTAGAGCCATCTTTCCTGAGCTAAGACAAAAATGTGTGAGCCAGAGACTAAAAAAACTGTGAGCTAGCTCACACTAACTCAGCTTAGAGGGAACACTGGTTGTGCTAGCTCTGTATTTCTGGCTGAATCGCCATTACACAGTTGCTGTGGTCCTTTCGCTTGCTTGTTTAGTAATTGATTATTCTTTTTCTTCTTTGTCCCAAACTCTGTAGGGAGCTGACGTTATTTTGGAGCAAATTACAGCGAAGAATTGACCCGTCTTTAGATTCATTCCTGGAGCGTTGTCGACAGTTCGGCATCATTGCTAGAACGCTGCAGCATTTGTTCTTCCTGATAAGAGTCATACAAGCTGAAGTATGTGTCTCTGTCATCTCCTGATTTGCTCTAATCTTTGTTCTTCAGTCCTTAGAGGGGTGGGGCCAAAAGGTGTGGCCCTTGGACTTAACTGCAAATTGCAGTGGAAATAACCTTGTTAGGCAGCCAAAACAACAGAGTTGTGTGGCACCTTAAAGACTAACGGAAAAGTTAGATCGGGGGGAGGGTTGGGAGAACTCTGTCTCTCAATCTCCTCAGAGGATAGGAAGGATAAAAATGAGTGGATAAACTGATGGTTAGAAGCTCCAAGTTAGTCCTTTAGTCCTCACTCCATGTCCATTTCTTATGTGTTCTAAGGCAATAAGCATGCCTCAGCTTAACTTAACTTAAGATATCTTAGTGGAGGCATCAGTGACTTGCAGGAGTGGCTGCCCAAACAGGTTACCTTCAGACCATCAGAGCATATGTGTAATGATTGCCCGTGGTTATCCAGAAGACGGTGCTCTTGATAAATTTATCCAGTGGTGGCAGTAACTAGGCGTCCACAATGAACATGCATCATAGGGGCAGCTCCAGTAAGAAGTCACCAGTTGGCCATAGCATGTGGTCATACGGCAAGATAATGGATTCTGGCTGTCCTGCACTTTTGGCACCACTTGCAAGTGTGGGGGAGCCCTCACCTTACTGTGCAACCACATGTCTTCCCTAAAGTTTGATTGTCATGGTTGGACTTCATAAGTAGTCACTGCCCCCATCATCGGGGTTCTGGAATCAGACAAGAAAACAAAGAGCTGCGCCAGTCACAGGAGATTTTAAAAAATAAGGCCAAGGCCAACAGTGTACCATCGACCTTGGCCTTATTTTTTTATCTCCTGGAATCGGCCAAACCCAGCCTGTCTGCTAGTTTATGGTGCTGCTTTAGAAGTGTGAGAAGCACAGGTGTTGGGTTTGACATTTTAGGGAGTTATGGACGTACAAGGTCTTCATTCCTTGGGTTATCGCTATTTCAGGCCCCTCAGGTTTGTTCCAACAAGTATAGCTCATGTTTTGGTAACCTCAATACACTTTCAAGCATGTGGTTAAAAAGGAAATGGCCGAGCAGCTAAAAGAAATGGGAACCGGTTTTTTGTGTGTGTGTTTGTATAAATATTTATTTAAGTTTGTATAAATATAGTTGGGGGAAGGGGCTGAGGGCATGTATTTAAGGAAAAGTTGTTAGAGGGTTGGGTCCCACGTTCCAATGGCCTGTTTAGAGTGTTTTTAGGCTACCTTTCCTTTGGGCATGTTGCAGTGATGACAGTCTGCAAGTGGCAGCTCCCCATGCCACATCAAAGCAGCTACAGCTCCCCCTGACTGGGTATCATCACATTCTTAAGCCCCAGCCCAGGGTGGTTAGTGCAGGGGTTGCAGCTGGGCCAGGAAGTCAGAAAAACTTGGTTTCCCAAGTGGAACTGCTTGTTTCCCTTGACCTCGTCAAATTGAAATGAGATCCCTTATCAAATAATATGGGTAGCTTTACATCACCTATGGAAAATCTACAGAAAGAATAGCTTCTTCCTCTTAGGCAAGATGTCAGGCTAAGCTTCATCCCACCCGTCCTTTTAAAGAAGATTTCTTTAAAATATATGTATATAAAACTAATGTGTGTTTTTTCTCTTTCCAAAAATTCCCTACAGGCAGAAGACTCAGGTCTTGCCGTGTCTATCTTGTTATGCGTGAGAGCCCTTCAGCTCCGATCGAACGAAAATGACGATATGAAGACTTCTGTGTGTAAAACGATCTCTTGCCTTCTGCCAGAAGACCTTGAAGTCAGAAGAGCCTGTCAGCTCACTGAATTTTTACTCGAGCCGAACGAGGATGCGTTTAATCTGCTAGAAGAGCTGCACCTGCAGCCAGATCAAAAATTCGACGAAGAGAATGCTCCGGTTCCAAACTCACTCCGCTGTGAGCTCCTGCTGGCTTTGAAGGCTTACTGGCAGTTTGACCCAGAATTCTGGGACTGGAAGACTTTGAGGAGACACTGTCTCAAATTGCTAGGGAAGGAAGTATCTGACTCCGAGGATGATCTCAGTGGCAACGAGGTAGGGTCCATGAATGAAAATGAACTGCTAGACAGTCTCCTAAGTGAATGTGAAGACGTCAGGGAAGATAATTCCTTTGAAGGACATGATTTCCTGAATCAGCCGAAAGAACGAGTAAGAGTAAAAAAACCTATTGGCTCTTCGGAGAGGTACCAGAGGTGGCTTCAGTACAAATTCTTCTGCGTCATTTGCAAAAAGGAGTGCATAGAGGCGAGAATACTGCATCATTCGAAGATGCACATGGAAGACGGCATGTACACATGCCCGGTGTGTATAAAAAAGTTTAGGAGGAAGGATGTTTTCGTAAAGCACATTGGGGAGCATGTGAAAATGCCCCCGAGTAGAAAATACCGTCCTA